CGGCTCATAACTGGTTCCGTCGGGTTTAGACATGTAAGGATAATCATGCAAAGCAATGTAGATAATTACAAATGAAGCGCTCGAATAAAGGCTGCCATTAACGCTACTTATGCGATGCCACTTCCCGGCTGCTCCAGAAGTTATCCTTCCTCCGAATTAACCTGGGGAATCCCGTTACTTCATATTTCACAGAAGCTGAGGGATGGCCTCGCCCGCCTAACGATTGGTTTTGTTTTCACATATCCGACCTTTACTGTTCGCATACAAGCCAGTCTTACTATGAACGCTGACCGTGTTAACTATACTGCTAGCTGTTGTGAATAAATACATGAACACGGAAAACATCCGGATGCATGCCAGCACTTGCGCTTATAAACAAACACATTCTCGGCTCGGAATTTAAACAACAAACACAGGGTGGGCCACTGATGATAGATCAGTATCATAGATAAAAATACACACGTCAATAAGGGTTTCTCTGAACAAGAGGAAAGAAATGAAATTATCATATAAACGAACATCAAAATAGAAAATGAAAAATGAAAGTGTAAGACATGTAATCACCCACCTGTTCCACTCATAGTACGCAGGTAGATCCCTGGGAACTCATGGTAGCTTCACGACTGTTTGTTCGGTTTTCTCGGGGTAATCACCAGTATTTGCTAGGGTCTTCCCCTGGGGAATTCTGTTTGTCTGTTACTCCTCCTCCCTCACAGCATTATATGTTCCTGACCAAGCAGTACAGCGAAGACGCAACATGTAATGGCAAGCTGTTTGCTCTACAGGCCATGGTATTGGATAAACAGCCAAGTAACACTGTGTACAGCCCTTTTTAGCTCAACACCACGACTTCCTTTGATTTAATTTACCAGCACTTTCGCAGCGCACACATCAAAGGCTCCTTTTTAAGACTCGGTACCTTTTCTGGCCGGGCGGCGGCTATTCTCACCGCTTTTCCCCTACGGCAGCCTACAATCGGCACCTTTACAGACGTGCTCTTATCGGTGTAATCGATTTCTTCTCACACACTCTCTCAGTTCGCCGCAGAAGTTATCTCTTTTCGACGCTTCCACAGTTAGTGTTGGGGCTGCCTTGTCTCAGCCGACAGGATCGTTGTCGGAACGTATTGATGGCTTCAGACGCAGCAGAGACGGAGCGCCCGTTACGAATCTTCCTCGCCGTAAGCCACCAGATGTATATGCGTGCCCAACTTTTCCAGGTAATTAATGTCAGTGTTGCGGACACACACAACGCCGGCCAGCAAACACCCTCAGCCACGTGAAGCAAGAGAGGTGATGACACACTCTGGTTCGAGCCCCTCGAGGTGAAACAAATACCATGTGGAAGAGCGAAGGAGGGGAGAAAGTCCTGGTGTTTGTTTGTGATACGAAGGTGGATAGTGTAGCTGTGCTTGTGCCAGAGGATGAGGAATGTCTCAGGTGTTAGCGGGAAGGTGGTTCGAGTGCTGGTGCTGGGAAGGTTTTATAAGGGGTGGCAAAATATTATTGGAAAAGGGTTGAAGCCAGGACAGTGTTGGCATCGATAGGAAGGAATAGCTGTTTGCAGGTTCAAGTATCGTAGGAGAGTTGATATTTAGGAAGAGGCAAGTAGTTATCGAAGGACTTGCTGGCTGGAAAGCTACTCTTAGAGAGCCTTTCGGCAGGAGACAAGGAGGATGTATGCTAAATGTGTTAAAAATTACTTGAGATATAAGTTTCGGTAATGCAGGAAACCTAGTTCAGGGAAAGGAAAGATAGGAAAAGAAAGGGCATAAAAGAAAAGATGATAATTGTTGCAAATACTTTTTGTATTGGGAGATAATACAACAGTGCTTGCGTCTTCAGTTGGAGGATCCTAAATGATGGGACACGCAGAAAGGTCAAAATTGGATACATAAAAAAACTCGGAAAATAGTATTGAAAGGTCAAGTGCGAGGAGATATTTGGATAAAAGAAAACTTTGGTGTTTAGGAGAGATATTTGGTTGACAAGTATTAGATTTGGGGGAGAGAGCCAGGTTTAATAACACAAAAATGTTAGGTATAAAAAGAGAGTTAGTGGGTGATGGGGAGATTTGTTATTCAGGGCAATATCAAGGAATATGTAAATATGATAATACCAAGGGATTATTATTATTTCTTTGGTTAAAGAGCAAGTGAACAGATATATTGGTGATAACTGGCAAACAATCAGGGGCAGAATCAGAGGAAAAGTACAGAAATGTGACAGATCTTGATGAATGTGGAATGTTGGCGAGGTGTGGAATGTCATGCAAAGGCTGGAGAAGGTTCAGTAATATGCGAATCACTCAAAGCTCAAGATCTTCGGAGATGATTAAACTCGAGAGGAACCAGGGTCGGCGTCGCTCAAATGAAGCCGATACACAGCATGAAGTTTCGCAACAATAGTCAAAGTGGCGGGCGGCGGCGGGCGGCGGCGGCGGCGGTGATGGTGGCGTGGCAGGCAGCGTGGGAGAGACGCGCACAGGAGGTCCCCGCTCTCAGCACGCCGTAGTACAACTGGCTGGCAGGTGACTGCACGGAGAGAACCGACCCTGTAGACTGCTTGACTCCGCTCGGGCCCCGGTCGGATGCCCTGGTCTAGTACACTCGCGCCGCCATCTCCGTTCGTTTACGCTACCTTCGTTCACTTTCACGGCGCATTTTCTACGCGTACTTGCAAGGAATTTGCTTCTGGCTGCGTGCAGTACTTATTGACATGCAGATGGTAAACCTGAGGACCGGAAAGCACCGAACTAAGCCGCCAGAGGCCCGTGAGACGCACGTAATCACGGGCGAAAAGTTTTGGATCGCGTGTGAAGCACGGTGTTTGTTATGGTGTGTGTGTGGCTGGCCGCGCTGCCTCCCCCCGGGCTGCCGCCACCACCCTGCCCGAGACCACCACGGCGACACCACACACCTCCAGCCCGACCTACACATTGGTTCTAGCCACGTTTGGGCGTCGGGCGCGGGCTGGGGGGCGCTGAGGCTCCGGGGTGGGCACGTGGGTGTTCCAGGTGAAACACGGCCCCCGAACGCCACCACCCGTCGCTGTGTGCCGCCTTGGCTTCCTGCCAGCCTCAGCCGCCGCCACCTGTTCGCTTGGCGGCAGTTTTTCGTGGCCTGGGTCGTGACAGCGGCCCAGGGATCAAGTTTCCCAGCGTAGCGGGAGTCCGGATGCGTTGTGGAGTGACAGCCACGCCCACAAGCCGCCCGCAGCACGCCCGCCACCCAGCTGTCTCAGCACCCTTCCTCGCATCATGATACCATCTCCTGAGATCACGCCCACGTCCCAGCCCACCGACCTCAGTGTCACCTGGGACTGCCCATTGCCCACATACCCACACAATATTCCCACGCCCACGCCGCTCTGAGGCCCCCACGCCTCCTCACGCGCCTCCCGTGACCCTCCAACACCTGATCCGTTGTTCTGGCGCAGATGATCTCGTGACCCTCCTGGCGACGGGCGGGGGAGGGGGGCGGCGGGGGGGTAAGGTCCTTGACGCTCTCCACTTCGGATATCGTCCGCCTGCGTCATCCTCGTGCTCCTGGGGGAACACGCCGCCCTCGACGTGCTTATCCTCGGGCTTGACCCGCACCTCCACGTGATCAACATGTGCGGGCACTTGCCTCTTGCGGGTATCGGGTCTAGAAACACCTGTACATAACCGGTGTTGGGCTGACCACCAACGGCGACCACCAGGTAGGCGAGGACTGCCAGACCCGCGGAATGTCTGCCAGGGGTCGCGCAGTCAACACCAGCCGCTTCTCTGTAATCAACAACTCCGCCACGATTTATATCACCAAATTTCCAGGTAACATTTGATTCATCAGGCTACAATAATGCAGAAGTTAAACCTGCACGACCAGAACACGCTCTCCGAACACCATCTCCGCACGCCACGGCTGCCATCATATCTGCCTCGCTCAGGAGATATTCCCCCGGAGGTCGGCGGAGGCACACAACGCCAGCGCTTTTTGCTGCTTGCTACTTTCCACGCGATTTGTTGTACGAGCATGCGCGCGCGTGTGTGGATGTGTGCGTGCGTGCGTGCGAGCGTATGTGTGTATATATTTATATGTGTGTGTTTCTATGCGATCGTGTATATATATATTTGTGTGTGTGTGTGTGTGTGTGTGTGTGTGTGTGTGTGTGTGTGTGTGTGCGCGTGTGTACGTGTGTTTGCGTGCACAGATATACATTCTCGTCAATGTGCTTCTGATTGTTCTCCCTTTCCTCCTTTTGGACACAAAGGCACAAGTGCAATAATTTAAGAGAGGAAAGGACTGTGGGCAATCGTGCAAAAAGTTCAAGAAGGTAGAAGCAATGAACGAGTGAGGTTCACCATCTGAGAACCAACAGCCAGTACTGACTCACGTGGCTTCACCTCCACCTCACCTGCCACCCCTCCCCCCTCCCCCTCGCACCACCATCTAGCTAACCACGTGGTGCTGCCCCATCTCTCACACTTGTCAGCCACGGCGCGGTGCCTTTCTGGGGGAACACGCCGCCCTCGACGTGCTTATCCTCGTGCTCCTGGGGGAACACGCCGCCCTCGACGTGCTTATCCTCGTGCTCCTGGGGGAACACGCCGCCCTCGACGTGCTTATCCTCGTGCTCCTGGGGGAACACGCCGCCCTCGACGTGCTTATCCTCGTGCTCCTGGGGGAACACGCCGCCCTCGACGTGCTTATCCTCGTGCTCCTGGGGGAACACGCCGCCCTCGACGTGCTTATCCTCGTGCTCCTGGGGGAACACGCCGCCCTCGACGTGCTTATCCTCGTGCTCCTGGGGGAACACGCCGCCCTCGACGTGCTTATCCTCGGGCTTGACCCGCACCTCCACGTGATCAACATGTGCGGGCACTTGCCTCTTGCGGGTATCGGGTCTAGAAACACCTGTACATAACCGGTGTTGGGCTGACCACCAACGGCGACCACCAGGTAGGCGAGGACTGCCAGACCCGCGGAATGTCTGCCAGGGGTCGCGCAGTCGTGTGTGTGTGCGCGTGTGTACGTGTGTTTGCGTGCACAGATATACATTCTCGTCAATGTGCTTCTGATTGTTCTCCCTTTCCTCCTTTTGGACACAAAGGCACAAGTGCAATAATTTAAGAGAGGAAAGGACTGTGGGCAATCGTGCAAAAAGTTCAAGAAGGTAGAAGCAATGAACGAGTGAGGTTCACCATCTGAGAACCAACAGCCAGTACTGACTCACGTGGCTTCACCTCACCTCACCTGCCACCCCTCCCCCCTCCCCCCTCGCACCACCATCTAGCTAACCACGTGGTGCTGCCCCATCTCTCACACCTGGTCAGCCACGGCGCGGTGCCTTGCCCAACTTTCCCACCTGGCCGACCAAGAAGGCTGAGCCTGCCTCGTGCTATCGCCTAACCGATCGGAGGCCACACACGACGAATACACCGCTAGATAATAAGATGCACTTGCAACACTGATGGGAACAGTTACAAAGCGCACAAATACGCACTCATGCAAGCTCATAAGCACACGTACATACACGTACGTACGTAGTCGCCCACACGAAGACACATTCACAGACAGAATTAAATAGATTAACTAACGCAGATAACAATGTACATGGTACATGTGATGGCACAAATTGTACGCACGAAACACTGATGACGAGCGGCGAACTGATATCTCTGTAAATGACCGCACTGAGAGAAGAAATCTGAGGTATATGTAGTATAGGTTTTCAAAACATTAAGGGTTCACGCCAGGCAAGACGAATGATCAAATGCAGTGACGAAATACGAAACGGGGTTGCGTAATCAGTGTTAACGAAGTGAGAACACAGAGCATTGATTAACGCATGATTTAATACGCAAAGGTGTATTGAGTAATATACGGGTATGGAATACAGTAAAATAACTGTAGATTAGATACTAATACCTCGAAACTAGAAGCAGGCTGTGTTGTTATTCTGAATTATCAAGGAGGTAACGCTAAAGAAAAAAAATAGAGGAAAATGATGTAATCGGCACTGATATTACATACCGCAGAGCATTCTCTCTCTCGCTCTCTCGTGTATTAAAAAAAAAGAAAAAGAAAAAAGCACGGATAAAAAAAGTACATTCATAACATGCAGTACATAGCGAATACATTAACACATTCATGTCACTTTACATATGAATCAGTGTACTTACTGCCCTAGATACTTTTTGTAAATAGTATTATGGTACAGAATGGTCGGAATATACAGAGGAATACAAAAAAATTGTATAATGTATATCACCTTAAAGAATGAATTTACATAATATATGAAAATGTAGCGTTAAGATGTGTGTGCGTACGTGCGTGCAAACACTTACACATCAGTTTCAAAAACATCCCTTACTTAAATCATGTAATGGGTATGCAATGACACAAGGATAATTAATGATAAATGTATCCATAAAATATATTTTCTAATAACATCGACATGAACAAAAAATGACAAAAGATGTATAGAATATAGTATAGTGTCTCTCACCTCACAAGATACACTGTTGATGTATAATGTCTGCGTATCCTAACAAATTTGATCCATATACGAACAATAACAGATCCATGCTTAAGACTAGTGTTGTAGGATGTCCATAATGACATCGCGACGTATTTCTAAACGTTCTAGCAATTTCGAGAGTACATTATGAGTACATTATTAGTAGCAAAGACCCTCCCTCGTGAATCCAACAACACTTGCAATGTCCGCACATATTCAGATCACAAACGATGTATGGATATGATGTATACAGAGGGACTATACGTGTTCTGATTATAGACGTGATATACTCTTTAGCCTCGATACACAAGATAAAAAGGCCAAAGTTGAAGTGAAACCACTTAAGATAATACACTGACTGCCTTTGCTGATATTTATGGATTAGAGAGAATATAGAGAAAGAAGGGACGTGAGAGTTAGCGTCTAGTCCATCTCCAGTTAACGAAAAAGCATCTCATACAAGTTTAATTCTTCGCCGCTGAATTGATTTAGAGAAAGCGGTTTAAATTGATTCAATATCTTGATCGGGAATGTTGCTAACCTAGAAATTGGTAAACTGTACGACTCTTGAAGTGGTACTTTACTAATGCACACACGCGCGCACACACACACACACACACACACACACACACACACACACACACACACATACACACACACAAACATACTCACACACACACGCAAGTAGATAATTCAAAGCATGTAAGTGGGTATTCATGTACACGCGCATGCAAATACACAAACATAAACACACCACTGACACTTATACATGCAAGCGGACACATGCATACAAGTTGATGTGTGCACACACACACACACACTCACACATACACTCACACACATACACACACTTACACACACACTCGTACACATCCAAACGCTCACACACACACACACGTACACATCCAAACGCTCACACACACAGACACACACACACGCGCGCGCGCATAACCACACGCACGCCGCCGCTGGGTCGCGAGGTTCCCGCGATCCTTCT